TATATATATATATATATATATATATATATATATATATATAAAGAAAATTACTATAAAATATGTCTACAAATGCATTAAATATTTACAATATGTTAATAATTAAAACATATTTTCTATGTATTTTTAATTTAAATTAACAAAAAATATCTAATTCGTTGAAAAATGTACTAACAATCTTTATATTTTACATTTCTAGATAAGTTTGTGAAAATATTTATAACGATTTATTCTTTCGGTCTCTTAATTGTAAATCGATTTAATTATATAAAATTGAGTATTTAGTTGCATTATTACATTTTTAATTGTTGTTTTTATTTTTTACTTTTTTTTTGTGTGATCACATATTTTTAACGTTATTTATTTTTTCTTAAAAAATGCTCATTTGGTAAGCTTTGATCAACAAAAATGTTATATAATGTACTGCAAAGTTCAATTGAAAACAAATTTTCAACCATAAAACTTATATTTCCATAACTTATACATGTTGAAGTTAAATTATAAATACTTTAAATGTCTCTTTTTTTTAAGGAAAGTTTGAGGGTGATACGGATTATAAATTTTTAAAAACTTGATGATACACATATCGATATTTGTATTTATAGTAAATACATTTTTATATGAAATGAGCGTTTCAACTAAAACAACAAGCTCGTTATTTAACATTTAAAATCGGACCCCCCCTGAGTGAAATTTCTAGATCCGTCACTGCCCGATCTCAGAATTATTTATTATTGCTTACAGAAGATCAGAGCTAACACGTGATGGGTACAAGAAGAATATTTGGGAAAATATATCACCCATAATTAAGGGAGATGCACTTAAGTAAAAATAATATACTGACCTTGGAAAGAACATAAAATTTATTAATCATGTAACTTCAACATGCAACTTAGCCTTATTCAATTAGATTATCTATCAACATTCAACACACAGTAAACATACCAAACCAATTCAGCTATATATATCATCAATGTAAGAAGCTCCAAGCAGGTTACCACAGTAAAGAATATTATTCCAAATCAATGTCAAAATAACTACAAAAAAAAAACCAACAAAAATGCAACTAAAAACTAAAAAAAAAATCATCATCAATTTGCAAGATTCCCACATAAACACGAGAGTAGCAACGGTTGCCCGTCGAGCCCGGGCTCTCCACCTGGGCCGGGCCAAGAGCCCAGCCCAGGTGGCGCCACTTGGCCTTCCACAAACAACGGGTTATTGGGCTCGGGAGCATGTGAGAAATCGTCAGGCCCGTAGTGGCCCGCGCTAGGGTTTCTTCTGCAAATGCCCGCCGCTCGTCTCTCGGCCTCGAGAAAATGGCCGAGAGACGGGGCATTGTTCGTGCTAACGGCATCCGTACTTAGCCTCGAACATAAGGACAAAAACCACGTTCTTGTCTTGTAATTATTCTTCTTGTTTCTCACGGGCTCGGTTATTTGCCGACCTCTCGTCGACCTTCTCGAAAGCTCGAGGATGTTGGAAATTCCGATGAGGCTCCCGAGAGTTATGCTCTTGTCATGGAAAAACGAACCCGTCGACTAGAAAGGGAAAATTTATAAATCACCAAAATCACTCTAAAATTTCTAAGATAATGAATAGGCTTATCATTGTGATGAAAAACTCTCAAATTGACCGTCCACAAATTGCATTATACACAAAATTGCATTATCTGTAAAAGTATGACATTTCATAGCATATAAGAACATATTTTTGTTAAAAACGAAAGTATGACCGGTCGAACTGCCTAACTGTTAGGCTGCCTCGTACAAGAATTTGTGATTATCGTGCCAGTGCGTTCAATTACATCTCTAGTTTCTTCTTGAAAAATTGTTGCGTTCTTGTGTCGATTCGTTTACGGCATTTTCACAATGAAAGTATTGTAAGTGCCGAGCCTTCAAGCTATTTCTCTAGCTATCGAACAATTTCTTCGAATTCACGGATTAAGATACGATAAATCGCGTACTTAATTCACTTTTTTTTTAAAAAAAAAAAGTTCGAGATCCATGCATCACATTGTCAAGGTGGTCCAAAGAACAAGTACATTCTAAAATTAACTAGACTTGTTTACATGACTAAACATTTTTCAGGAGTAAAAGTAGTAAAGTTCAAACTTTCCCCTTTGAGCCCTGTTTTAATTCTTTTCATCAATATTTATCTTTTTTCTTATTTAAATATCCATAGGTGCAGTGCATAAAATTATGAAATCAAAATTTAAAATCATAAAGGGATATTGTAAATAATAATAATAATAATAATAATTTAAATGTAGCTTTTGATCAATTTTTAAATAATTGTATCAAAAATATTTAATCGAAAACACTAAATTAACAACAAAGTGGGTAAAGTGTTAACTAAGGGTCGTTTGAAATTTTCGAGTGACATTTTTCAGACTTTTTGACATTTGAAACTTTATAAGATTTTGTTAAGAGTAATTTGTGAAATGGTGGGATTTACTGTGAGATTTCCTATATATATATACATATATATTTATTTTTTGAAATGCCAACAAATCTTAAAAAGTCTAAACAAATAATAATATCACATATGTTAAATATATTCAAAGATTGTTTAAAATTCCGAATTAAAAACATAAGAAAGTCTAAACTAAATAGAGCATGAGGTCGAATTTTAAAAAGTCTAGAAATTCGAAATGAATGCACCTCTATAAATCTATTTTCCTTTTATTTATTTATTTTATTAAGATAGTTGAAATACAGTGGACTCTAAATTAATAAATGCTTCTATTATCTGCCTATATATATATATATATATAAATAAATAAATAAATAAAATCCAATCTTTAATTAATGAAATGAAATGAAATATAAAAAATGTGTATTTTCAACCTTGATTAAATTAGGAAGTAATGAAGAAAATTAATTACCTGTTGAGACATTGGTTTCACCCCCTTTGTGAAGGGACTCTGAAAGGGGTGGCTTAGCTAGTGAAGCTCTTTATATATAAGTAAAGGTTGTATTTTATTTATTTTATTCTATTTTGTTAGTTAATATATTTATTATTAATTAAAGTTGAAAAAAAAATGGTGGGAGGTCACTGAGATTTGAGGGTAAGTAGAAGGAGTATAATAAGAATTGGGAGCTGTCTTTTCATATTTCCTATAAAAGAAAAGCATTGTTTTTTAATTTTTTTTTAACTAGGGGCTCAGAACTCAGAAGAGTTTTTGTTATTCTTCACTTTCCTTTTTGGTTATTTTATTTTATTTTATTTTATCTTTTGATGTTTTTGTAATGTTACTCTACTAAGATTGTGCCTAGTTATCAACAGGTAGTGTTAGGCTTTCAGAAATATGCCACTTAAATTTGCTTCGCTATTAGTGTTTATAATTGTTCTTCCATCACATCATATGCGAAACTTTATTTACAGCAGGACTCATGTTAGATCTTATACTTGAAGATAGATGTGAAAATTTGTATCTTTTTTTTTATTATTAAATTGTTGTTTCCAACTAAAAAAATGCTTAAGCTGTGATTATGGTTGTGAAAACAAAAATTATAGATGAAAGAAAGTTAGTTGAAGAATTAATATTTTTATTTAATTTAAGTAATAAAATCTAAAGTATAATATTTAATTATGATGTGGTAAAAAATAATAAAATTTGATTAATCTAAAAACTATTAAAATATGTAACCAGAGAAAAATGAGATAAATGAATAATGATTTTTTATTTGTGGATAGTTAAATAAAAGTTGACTTTTAAGATTTTTAAATGATAAGAAATGCAAGAATTAGTAAGATGTTGAAGAAAAAAAGCAAGAGAGATAATTCTTTTAGATGATTATAAGGTTTGATTAGATTTGTTAGATAACTAGAGTTAATTTTGAAAAAAATTGATTAAATTAAGTTTGAATCAGGTTTTGAATTTGTATTAAAATAATATTTCAATATAATGATTAAAATTGATTTGATGTAAAGTGGAATAAAAGTTATTAGATGTCATGGATAAATAAAATTATATCAGTGCGTGAATAGTAAATTAAACTTGTGGAATGTATCAGGATGATTTATTGATGTTATTTAATTATAATGATAACATTGATGAGAGTTGAGTTGTGTTAAATTTAAATCATATTTTAAATTTAAAAAAAAAATTATATAATGTGTGAGCGATTAGGTCTAAGTTTCTAAAGAGTTTATTCTTTTATTTTATAAATATTTCTTAAAATGTTAGTTTGGTGGCCTAACATTCGACAAGATGTTATACTTTTGTTAACTTTGTTGTTTAACTTATAAATATTTAAATATAAGTGAGCCAAATATTTACTTGGAACTAGTTGCAAAATTAAGGACAAAATCTCTATATATATAATGTATTATAAGTTATGTATATGCATTTGCAGAGATATAAATAACGTATTAAAATAATTGGTACGGTTGATCGTGTGACTTTCTCCGAACGGAACGAACCGAAAAAAATTATTGATACGGTTCTGGAGATTTCACAAATATCCATACCGAGAACCGAACATAATCGTCACATACCGTACCGAACTGTCTCGTACCGTACCGAACCGAAGAACCGAAATTAAGAACCGAATTATAAATGCATTTGCAGAGATATGCATTTATAGAGATGTATAACATTGATGAATGTTGGATTTAAAAAAAAAAAATGTATAAAAATTAAAATATAACTAGGTGGTAATTCAAAATAAATTAAAAATAATTAAATCTTCGAATATCTGAACCGAACCGAACTGAACCGTTCCGATAGTCTCGAATACCGAACCGAACTGAAAAATAAAAATCTCCGAATCGAACCAAACTGAATTTTTGGTACGGTTCCAGAGATAGAATTTTAGTGATCTCCGAACCGCGACTCGTGCTCACCCCTGGTCTCTACCCTCGTAACTATATATTAAAACTCTAAATTTAAAATTTCTATTTACTAATTACCTATAATTGCGCGGTATGTGCATTATGGGTTGGTCTATAGAATCAAGTGCAAGCATATGCAAATTAGGTTGTTTATTATTTCACTTTTACCTGTTTTCCGATGTGGGAAAAAGAGTCAACAACAACAAGGATATGTTTGTTAATGCACTTATGTGCATTATGTGCATTAATCATTATGGGTTGGCATGGAATGAACCGCATCTACACAGAAATAATCCATATTGCCATAACTTCTCTCTCTCTCTCTCTTTTTTTTTTTTTTTTTNTATAGATTTTTTGTCCGTTTCATTTATTTTTTCCTTGAAACAACCGCCACAATAATTAATTGAATGCATATAACAAACATATAGCCATATGTTATGTTATCAACGTGCTTATTAATAAACTTAGTACAAATGCCGATGTTGTTGGATTGCTTAAAAAATTAATATCAAATTTTATACTTTTATTTATATTATAATTTTAAATATGACATTGAGTATGAATATATACAGATATATCTTCAATGAAAAATATTCTTGTCATAACTTTAGAAAGCCTAAGACCATCTCCAGCCCTTAATTCTACTCTAGCGCGGTTTTTACTCTACTATAGAATAGAGTTAAACATTCGTCTCCAATCCTTATCTCTACATTTTACTCTATATCAAATATATTATTTTTTTTATTCATTTTTTATTTCAAATAAATTAGTATATATATGTATATTTCATCTTATATAAATGTTTATTACCCAAATAATAAAAATATATTTAGTATAAAAAATACCTCACACAAAGTTGTAATACGTAAATTAGAAAACAAATACAAAATTATTTAGCATAATAAATACATTACACAAAATTATAAATTATTCAACATAAAAAATACATTATACAAAGTTATAAATTAGTTAGCATAAAAAATACATTACACAAAGTTATTTAGCATAAAAAATACATTTACTAATACACATTATACACAAATTTATCATTAATATTACATTACAATACATAAAAAAAAAAAGAAAAAAAAATTGTAGAGATGCTACAGTGTTGCGCCAGATGTGGCGCAACACTGTTGCAATCTCTAAAGTAACGCAAATATCTAGTGCAGGGTTGGAGTGCACTTTAGCACTACAATAGCGCAAAAAGAGAGAGATAGAGCAGCGCTGGGCTTGCTCTAACAGAGGACCAACAGTAAAATTATTGTCTAAAAAGACTTACATTTCATTTCCCTCTCAACCAATCACATAAAATGTTTCAACTATCTCATGTGGTTTGCATAAAGATTCCATCTATGACCTCAGGAGCTTAATTGATTGTTTCTATACTTCGACTATATATA